TAACGGATTTATTATTACAATTTACTTATATCTATTTTTCCGCATTGATTATGGAGTTCAACGACAGAATATAAAAATGTATATTGCCGATACCCATGTACCCAATTTTTATTTTAAAAAAAAAATTAATATTTTTCATATTTTAATTGAATTTAACATGGGTATGTTTTTTTTAACCATACAAATTTTGTTATCTGACAAATTTATGATAATATTGTCTCTGAGACTATAACATGAATATAAAAAAGAGTACAATTGAAGGATTTCACAAAGAAGGCCGCTTTCTTTATCAATTTAATACCATTTTTTATGGCCAAAATAAATTATAATTCTAATAAAATAAATTTCTTTACCACAAATATATTAATATTTATATTTAGAATAATATAATATTATAAAAATATTTATATTTATAGCTAAGAATTAAATCTTTTTTTTATTTCTATTTTAATAAATGAAGATCTCTTTATTTAGTAAGTTTAATTTTTTAATTTTATTAAAGTTTTTGGGAAGTTAGGTACTCTCTCTCATCTCTCGTCCTTCAAATGCCTAAACCAGTGAGGAAGAGATTCCCTTCGAGCATATCTTCTACCCTTTCTGATCAATGTGTTTAGAAATTAACTTCCTCGGGGCTAACCTCACTAACAAGGCATCTTACATTTTAGTATCCACCGAAGCCCGTTAAAAACACCCTTAATTCATAAGACACGTAATAGACCAGGAACAGCATGATTGATAGTATTTCTTTGTTGCATAAATTATTAAAACGATTTTCGCTTGAATAATTTATTCAAATTGTTTAATCCATTGATCGCATAATTAAACATACTTTTTTTGAATGTGATTCCTGGGCATAATATAGTAAAAATAAAAATAAACGAGGAACAAAAATTTATATTGAAAAAAAATATTATACTGGAACCAACCCCCTCTTTGAAAAATTTGAAAGTTTTAGTAAATATTACTTTAAACTAATAACTCCCCCCCCCCTCTCAAAATATCCATTTATATGTGAAATCTATTTTATAATTTGAGTTATAAATTTACAAATTAAAGAGGCTTCGTTTTGTGGTATATTTCAAATGTTAGCATACATATTGATAAACATTTTGATTTGCATTAGAAAAAATTCAATTCCTTTTTTAATGGCAGATGTTATTATCTTAATATATTAAGACGTCTACGACAAAAGAAATGGTTCATAGAGTTTAGTATAACAAGCAAATAATTAAGTTGTATTAAACCAGACAGAATAATAGCAATTCAAAGCGTTTTCGTAATTTGACAAATTACGGGAACCAACAGTATGTCATTGAGGAGGGCGGAAGGGTTAAAGCCTCTTGAAAAATATTGAACTTTTTTTAATTTAAGATAGAATTACCGTTTTTTTTTCTAATTTTGGTTAAAAATTGAGCCAGTCAAGTTGAAAATGCTAGCTATGCGTTATTAATTATAAATATATTTTAAAGATAGAGGGCAGATAAGGTTAAAATATCAAAATAGGGAAACCCATTTATAAAAAAGGATTTATTATTATTATATTAATGTTTATAATATACTTTTAATTTAATATTTAAAACGTTTTATTTATTTATTTTTCCCTTATTATCCATTAAACACATATAGCATAATATTGAACTTTTAACTTGACAAAAAAAAAGAGAAAAGTAGTATTATAAATAAGCACTAACATTTTTTTACAATAATATTCTAAGTTTAATTTCCATTCATTCATTGTAAAAAAAAAAATTAATTTAAATATAAAATAAAGTATTTTACAATTTATTTTTTTCGAAATTTTAATTGCCCTTGTTCTATGAATATAGGTAAAATCTATTTTATATACTAATGGTAGTATATTGTAGGACAATTTTATTTTTAGATTCTATCTATGTATATAAAAAAATCTTTACTTTTTTATTTTGAAAGATATTATAATTACCTAATCGTGAATATTAGCATCATCCTTTTTTTTCTAAAAATTTTTCAATTTATTAAGTATGTTAAACAATATATAGGGTTAGTTAACATTATAATTACATTACCGATTATAAAATTTTTTGTTGCAAAGATTTATATTGCCCTTATCATCATTTACCCATGTTTATATATTGCATAAATTTATTGGATATCAAGTAGTCGAATCTTTTAAATTTTTAAATTTCTGGCCGATTATATATTGGAGACTGGGGCTAAATAAAAATAGGATTGATATTTATCTAAAAGATGTTGTTATTATAATTTCCATGTTAAAATAAAATTGTCATTCGTTAGCTAAGCATTCGGCGTAAATAAAATAATATTTAGCCGACCACCTCTTATAGTTTAGGAGCAGGCCTGATTTTTGTCAATCAAGACAAATTAAATTATCTACTTATATACCATCTTCAAGGTAAAACGGGAGAATATTAAAGTGAAAAAATTAAAATATTTAGTACTCCCGACATCTGGTAAAACGGCAAAGACATGGGGTAAAAAAAATTAACAAAAAAATATGATAAAATGAAAATGGTTTATTTAACTTTTATTTATTGAAATATTGCTTAATTAAATGGACCAATTTAGTGCACATTTTGAACTATAGCTATTTCACGCCAGTTAATAGCTGTACGATTTTTTTTTATTTACACCTGCAACACAGATGCAAATATTACCTTTTTTAAAAAAATTGTATTTATTACCACGAAAACTCAAGTTCACTTATAACGCTAATACCACATATATAAGGGAAAAGTTTCGGACAACTTTTATTTTATAGACTAAACATTTTTAAACCTAGTATATAACTTTTGAATAGATTTATCAGAAAAAGAAATCCAGGAATGCCCACTCAAAAATATTTATGACATATAAAAATACACAATCTATATTTTATGACATAGTAAATGAACCATTGTTTTACTCTGCATTTAATCTAACTCTAATCTCCCAATCTTGCAAAAAAACTTACTAGAGCTATTTTTTCGTTGACGAGACGAGGGTATTAAAAAATCTAATATTTTTAAGATGCTTAGCTTTTTAAAATTTTATTACTACACCTGATTGCAATTTGATACGATGCTAATTCAATTACTAATTAAGCAAGCGCGATTTTCCTTATTAAGAGAATTTGTAATAATAATTCTAAAACAATATCTCCTCAGTGCTTATATTTTTTTTAGTGTGAATATAGCTACCAGCACAAACTAGAAGAAATTATCAAAATAGTATATAATTAAAGTATGATCGACGGAAAAAGAAGAAGTACGAGATTGGTGTTGCCTTGTAAGCTTAATATATAATATTTACAAGATTTTGAACAATATAGTAGAATCACTAAATGCACTATGGATAAGCCCTATAGTTTTTTATATATTCTTTAATAATTTCCATGATATGCTAATATATAATTATACTGTTATAAATAAATTTCCATATTATAATAAAGTGCAAAGCTTAATGGTAACGAGATTGGTGTGAAATTTGATCACTTTTGTAATAGTTTTGTTTAATACATTGTAAAATGCAATAATACCAATCTATCTACACTCTATATTTAAACATGGTTGAATTCAAACGTCTTTTATGCTTATAATAATATTAACCTTTCAAAAAAATACTTTTATTGTTTGATGATAATTTTATTTTGTCTCATATTTAAAAAAATCTTAATTAAGAGGGAGTTGTTGCTACGCTACTTATTTATGAAATATAATAATTGAAATAAACTGGTTTTCATATTTAAAATTTAGATTATTAAACTTTTCTAATTTTTTTTCCTCGAGATTATTTTATTTTTTACAAATAATTGTGAAATATTCGATTTATAAAAAAAGATAATTTAAATGGGTAGCATATATTTTTATAGGGTTTATCCAAACACTTAGTTTAATTAGTTTTTATTTTCCATTTTACTCAATGTCGTTTAGACTATGCTTGACGATTTTTTTGTATTAAATTGTATAAAAGTTATTCTATTTAAAAAAAATTTATTTCTATAAATTATGTAATCTCTGCTATCTTTCGATTTTATATCATAAATATTTTTATTGTAAAATAATTTTTTATGAAAAATTATTAACAAAATATAAAAACATTTCTTTTTATTTATACCTTAACATTTTATTTTGTTGCAACTAATTAATTATATTTAAAGTAAGAAGGTTATCTTTATAAAACATTAAAAAGTTATAGATACTATTATGTATTATTATTTTGTGAATGATTTCATTTGCCAGTCATAAAATATTTAATTATCAAAACATAGGTAAAAAGTAGATAAATCAAAATTATGTTAAACTTTATCTCGAGTTTTGATAATATGATATCTATGGAATTTCACATTAGAAGGTTAGAAAAAATTAATTGCGCTTATATGACACTATATAATGGTTTGTTTTGTCTACGATTTATTTAACTTATATAAAAGAAAAATCCTCTTGCCGGTTGGTGATTTAATGATTATAGAAGGCTTAGGATGAATCTCTATTGTTTTTTTTTTATTTATCTTTAAAGTTTTTAACTTTTTGACTTTAAAATTATTTTTTATAAATTAGAGATATATTATTATTCTTTTAAATGTAACGTATCGAACACTATAATTTTTTTAAGAATTTAAATTTTTTAAAATATTATTGCCAAAGTCATAATTTCTTAAAGAGTGTTGAAAGATGAAACATTTTTTTTTTGTATATTATTTAATGATTTATGTAATACGGATCATATAAACAAAATTATTTATTTACCCTCTATCTATCTATATTTGCATAATTATTGTCATTATACAAATTTTTTATTATTATATTTTCACATTGATAAATATTGTAAATTAGGAAAATAAAATATAAATTATTTATTAAAATGTCGAAAATAAAACTCTATTTTCACTTTTTTATCCTCATAATTCATTTAAAAAACAAATAAAATATTTTAATATAATAAACTATGTTTTAAATTTTGATAGTTTACTTGGCCTTAAAAAAATTCAATTTCAAATTTCATTCTTTTATATCGCGCAACAGGCAGAAGTCATGTAAATTACGAAACATATTATGGTCATTACAAGGGTCGAATCAAGATAATGTCTAGAAGAAAGAATATTATTCCTTTAAGCGAATTTGGGCGGCAACCGTCGGAAACATTAAATTTGCCATGTTTAGTTAAATTAATTGATATACCCATCAAATATTTTGATTCATCAGTTTACAGGGACCCGCATCTATTCGCTATAATTGAATCATCGATTCCTATGTTTAAAGTGAAAACCGAAAGTAGGATTTATTCTTACGCATCAGAATATTCTAATTCTGATCAATACTATTCAACATCACCCGAACATTATTATAAACGGCCTTTAACATCATCCCATCTCCGTCAACTTAAAAAAAATTCTATAATACCTTCTAAATATGATAAAAACTCTAAATATGAATATATAAAAAGGTGTACAGTTTCTGTGAACGATTTTGATGGTTGGTTTGAGTTGCTATCGGAAGATGAAAAATCTGCTCCTGGTTATTTCACAGTTAGAGAATTGGCCGAAAAGTTCCCGGATAAATGCTTGGTGCGTTCTAAAATTCAGGCCTACAAAATGTTTAAAAGTTCGGAAAAAATAAATGATGCGAATAATAATTTTATCGAACCACCTTACCCGAAGGTAAAGATTTTAACTAAGATATTTAAAGAAGGCGAAGTTTTAAAACTTGTTTCAAAGCACACACTATCTTCTTTGACTCAACAACTTAAATCTTACAAAGGTTTTATCACTACATCACAAGCTTTTTCACAGTTAGATCATAATTATTTGAAATGCATCGATTTGAAAGGCAATCCATGGTATCTACCTTTCAGTTCGATGGGGCACTTTAGTCCCCTAGCTAAACGCGAAAATATATCGGGAGTACATTTGATTAAAGATATGATATACAAATTTCATTTACCTATCAAAGTCAAGTTGGTCCATTACCCAAGAAAAGTACAAAACCGGATAGAGCAAGATTATGAGACTATTGAAAGGAAAGATTATAGTGAGATAAATAAACATTTTCCTGAAGGTACTGTGTTAAGACTGTTATCCTTGAAAAGGGAATATGAATTTAATCTCTATCTATTGGGTTCTGATTCTATCAAACGTGTTAAGATTCCACATTCGTGCGCCATGCAAACCCTGATAATGCCTGATATCGATTTAAAGAAGAAAGATATTATAATGAGCTTAAGCCCCACACTTTGGACGTGCCTGGAAATTTTATATCACGTAAATCGCGAAAATTTGCTAGATACCACTCAACAATTGAATATCACTACTACCGAAAGTTTTGAACTATATAAGGAGTTACCCATGTCAAATTACGACATCAATTCTAATAATAAAAAATTGCATCATCAAATCAATATAAATGACCGATCATTTTCCAATCCTGAGAATATCCTTCCAGACTTGTGTCTTAAAAATAAAAATAAGTTTAACTCAAAGGACAATATATCACCCCAAATAAAGAGCAATAACCCATTCTTGATGTCAACTATAAACAGCAGATGCAAGAAAAAATTATTAAACATTAACATTAATCCCAGATGGTCAGTCTCTGACATCAAATATAATCCAATGTCTTTTGATAAGAAGACCTATAGTAATAACAATAAAAATGATACATTCAATGTCACGGTAGGTTCGTCAAATTTTAACTGTTCCGATCTATCATACAACCGTAGTATCCATTCCGACGAAACTCATGACAGACACGGTGCTTTTAATAGATCATATCTGACTGGAATGAGTGAAAAATCTAATGTACAGACATTTATCCAAAATATTGACGCTGATTACAATATAGCTAAACATTTATGCCTCTTGATCGAGGAGTTGGTAGCGAATGATAAATTGGATAAAGCTTTCACAAAAAGTTTCCATAGGAATTATGGTAATTATACAAACTTATTAACATTCATTAGCTTTATGTCATAAACGCTCTCCTTTTTTTAATATATCGTTTTTTTTTCAGTGGCGTTACTAGATCTTATCACAAGAAAAAAAAAGTCAATTTCCTAATTAGGCGCACTATGAAATTTAGGAATGCATATTTTTTCGTCCACTTTTAGAAATACGTTGGTTGTTGTACATTAGTTAGCCATAATTGTTTATAGCACTTTTTTTATTGTGAATTTCGGACAATTTTGCCCTGGACTTTTGAATTAAACTCTAAAATTTTATATATGATTTTTCATATAAATTTTAAAAAATATACATAAAAATTTATGATAAAATTGTCTGAAATTCGCAGGGTAAAGGTGACAGGCACTCTATATAGGCTGGAATACGAGTTAACAAAATCTGACCTATTCAAAATATAAAAAACGCATTTTAAATTATTTACAATTTATAAAATATGGTTAAAAACTGGCAATAAAGCATAGCTATGAATTTACTAAACCTCTATAAACATATACACATCTAAAAAATAATTGTTATAGACATCAAAATTGAACCCGCAAAAGCAACTTTGAATGAAAGTGTATCGTCAACTATTACAACGAGGGATGAGCTGCAGCAATATATAATAGAAAATCAAACAAATTACGAAATGAATAATAAATCGTTTATGCACAGGCTTAAGATATGGTTAAATAATTATCTTAACATTATCGATTGTAACTACAGCAGTAAAAACTATTCCGATAAATATTATTAAGTAAATTTTTTGAAATGTTTGATTATGTTGTGTTAACCTATGTATTTTGGAAAAATTATTTTTAAATAAATTGATTATTTAAACTATAATGAATACGATGCCTTGAGTAAGAGGCGTTAAAAATATTGCCAACAACTTTTAGGACCATTAAATCTTGATTTTAGTTAAGAAAAATTTAGGAATTTGTAATTAGACCAAAAGATTCAAATTGAAATTTGTATACATGGTCCCCTTGGGGACACAATTAAAATGCCTTGAATTACAAAAAAGAATATACATACCAAAAAAATTAACACATCTGATAAACGATTTAAGACAAGATGGAATATATGGATTGTTTTAAACTTAGAGGAAAAAAGCAAAACATAGTTGCCTTTTTAATTAGAAAATTGATTCGAAAAAATATGCGTTTTTCGCGTTATTTTTAAGAATATTAATTTAATATTTTTAAGTGTCGAATACATCCCACCCAACGGTTTAAAAATAAAAAAGGAAGTAATAAATATTTTTTTTTTTAAAAAACGAAAGTAAAAAGTTCTGTTTATATAATTGATATTATTTTGAGAAAAAATATTTCAGAGTCAAAATAATAATTGATATTGAATTTCTTAACCTATATCTTAAATCAATCTATTAAAATTTGACAATTGAAATAAAGTTTTGTTTTTATTATAATAAATATAAAATAATAGCAATATTGTTTATTTTTATATTATTAAAATTATGTTAATTTGCAGAGTTGGGCAGTACCACGAATACTTGTATCTGAGATACAAGATCCTTTTGTATCTTGTAATGTATCTTTTTGACATTTTTTCTATTTTTGTAACTAAGATCCTTTATTCTGAAAAGAATCTTGCATCCATCTTCTTGATAAAAGGTAAAAATACAGATTCTTTTTAATATTCATGTTTAAAATTTTACATATCACAGATATATCTTATTTTCTTTGGAAATCTTTTATTAATTCCCTTATTTTTTTCTGCCATATTTTAAATATATTGACCAACCAAAATTAGCTGGAAAAGTTCCAACTCATATTAAGATGCATTGATTAAAAATAACAACACCAAAACGAAATAAGCAAAGATTATATTTTATATATAAATGTAACTCGATAGAATATCATTACCAATTTTATGTAATATATTATAATTTATAGAATTTTTAACACTCATGATAGTGAAGAAGAAAGTATTGAAATATAAATTATTAAAATAAGTTCCCCTTAATCAAATCCCAATTTTAAAATTTTAGATGGAAATTTTTTTAAAATAAATGTTAAAAAAGATAATATACCGGCTGAATGTAAAACCTGTATAAACAAATTTTGTTAAACATATTAAAATATATTATTTATATGTAGTTGGTTAACTAAAAAATTAAAGTTTACAATATTGTCTACCTTTATTAAAAGCTGCCCAAGATGGTATGGGCGAAAGATATGAATATAATGAGATTTTTTGGCATTTAAGATTATGATTGAGTTGGATGATAAAAAAAATACTTTCAAAATATATAATTTAAAAAAAGCCCTAAATGTAATATCAGAATATATAATCAAGCTCAAACTACAACACCAATAGATTTAACATCTAATAAAGAAAATCATTTTTCTTTTGTTGAAACAAATGCTGTTGGGTTTAATCATACAAATAACATTGAACTGGAGGTTTTAAATTATATTAAAGAAAGTTTAAATACATTATAAATGCTTAATTATTATCCTTCCATTAAGGTAATGTTTTTAAAAATTACTGCAATATCTTTCAGCTCCAATGATAGGTAATTTATTGACACAATGTTTAGTACGCGGAAACGGCAAAGGTCTAATGATAAATTATTTTAAAAATTTGATTATCTTATAAAATAATGAATCTATTTTAAATACTCTTTTGCAAATTAATATTTCAACTCCTATAAAAATACTAGTTTCCCTTCCATTGTCTAATACGAATATTAAAATGCCTGATATAAATTAATTCATCATTAAATATTTTATTAATTATTGTAAATATTCAATCTTATAATATGCATATGTTATGTTCTTCACAAATAAATAATAAAACTCTATTTTATAAACTATTCTTTAATTGGAAATGATAATTTAAAAATATCCTGTATTTAAGATATCCTAATTTAGCAAAAAATACAACTATATTTTATCTTGTATCTTTGAAGATACTAGTATCATATCTAAGATTCATTTCTATAGAAAATCTGTATTTAGATCCTTTCTGGAGGACCTGCCCAACTATATTAACTAGTATTATAAAAAGTAGATATCTTAGATAATAATCGTTTTAAAAGATTATATCGTGATTAAGAAATTAATAAATCTAGTGTAAACCGTGTTTTTAAACAAATTATATGTATCGAATTCAGTTTTCATTTAGTTGTATTTTTATTAGTCTATAGAATACGATAAATTATATTCAGACTGTGCGCTGCCGCGCCACGGTGTTACGTTTAGCAACGGGTTTTTATATAAGCGATGGCGTTGGCATTAGAAAATTTTATTTTTCCTATTCTTATATTAATAAATTAAAATTTTGCATTAATATTTAAAATCATAAATATAAGATTCAAATAAGGAAATACTATTTTAAATAATTATTTTCGTAACTAAAACTTAATAAAATTTGAATGGCTATGATCTCAGAAGTGTCTGGTTAAGTAAATATGAACACAATTGTTTTACGTTGATGGAAAAAATGTGTGGAATATTCATAACCTTTATTGGATAATGTGCTTTAAAAAGTAAAGTTAAAGTGACGACTTACTATATTTATAAGTGTTGTTAAAGCTAGTTACATTTTTACAAAAAAATTGGCAACTAATTACATTTGAAATTTAACCGTCAATATCTTTTGGATATGACTTATAACGGTAATAATAACTTTTAACAAAATTATTTTTTAGATTAATGCAAAATACAAAGCTGTTACTTTTTGAGTAATTTCCAAGAAAAGGACTATTATATAAATTAAATGAGTAAAAATATTTTTTAACCCGCCTACTCATTCTCCGGGTTTAAAACTTTCAAACGCCTGCCCACGCCCGCAAAATTGGCAGGCTAAAAACCCGCTCGTTGGGGTTTCTACAAATCGATTTTAAAAAAGGAACAAGTTAGGAAAAAAATAGATATTTAGTTTTTTCTATAAAAAAAATAAATAATTGTCTCAAACTAAAATATTTCCGCTTTCCTAGAAAAAATTCGAGTAAAATCTATTTTTATTAATAATATTTCAGGCCAGATCAAAACTCAAATATTCAAAAAAAAACCTGACCAGAAATTGGTCCTAAATTAGAATTCAATACCTAAATTTTGATATGATTTTTGACATTATATTATGCATTTGATATTTAAGTCAATTTTGTTTAAAAAAGATGAATGGCGCACTCCGAATTGGAAACCAATTTTTTTTAGAATTTAGGATTTTCATTACTTGTTATTCATTTTCTAAAATTTTATAATTTAGTACAAGGCACGAGCTAACAAAATTAATAAATTTCGCCAATATTAAAAATTTAAGGATTGTTTCATTCATTTTATTTATAAAGTTGAGATTATATTTTATTTCAATGCTTTAACCCCTATTCATTATTTTCATTTTATTGAGTTAATTAAAAATGATTAATATTTTTTTTATTGCCTAAGGATATTTTTATGATAGATTCGATTTTTATTTCATTAACTTAACATATAACACCTAAATTTCCTTTCAATGATTTCTTATTTTAATTAAAACCTAAATATAAAAAAATTTTTATGATTGTGTATTCATAAAACATTTAACCCCGTTTATAATATAAATTAATTTTTTTTTCAAGTTTATTCATTTAATTAATATGTGAAATAAATGGTTTAAGAGATTTCATTGTTATTACTTTAAAATTTATATAATAATGTATAATATAAATGAAGTCTAAAATATGCTTTATTAAAATAACAAAATGCTAATAATACTAATATTCCATATCACATAACATTTTTTAAAAATCACAATAACTAATCAATTTTAGGGATATAATTTAAAATTAATATGTAAAACTAAATTAATATTAAGCTACACTTAATGAACAAGCTTGGTAAGCTAGCATGTGAGAGAAATATAATTTATTTTTATAAAAAAAAGTCAGTCAGAATAAATATTATTTATAAAAGAAATTAAAAAAAATAAATATTTTGAGCTAAAATTTGGATACATTTTAAAAAGAAAGAAAATATTATTGACACAGAAAATATATAATTATGTGGTATGGTTGAATTTAAACTTGGACAACCTATTTTTAATATTCTGATACACTAAAGATGAGTCAACATTTTGTCTTTGGTAGATAATCGCGTTAGTTTGAGTCATATCAAATTTAGGAGATGTATCTTAAAATCAACCATTTTTTTAAAAAATGAAAGAATAAAGTAATATTAGGAATAAAAAATGGAGAGGTGCATCATTTTTAGAGCCAGTTCAATTTTAATGAATATCAATAAAATATACATATTAATCCACCATTTTGGCAAATCAAAACCAGTCAAAATAAAAAATATAGGTAGATACTTGATATTTGTAGAAAATAAAACTACCTTGCATAGTTTTGTATGAGTCACGTGGTTTATGCTGGGGGCGACAAATCCTTTTAGGGGGAGTCGTTTGCTAGAAAATAAAATTTAAGATTTTTTAAAAAAATTTAATAACTGTTTTTTGGTATATTATTTTTTTCCCATAGTAATTCAATTATATTATAATTTTTTTTTTGATTTATTTTTAAAAAGTAAAAATATTTTAACAAATAATCGCTAAAAAGGTAAAAAAAAACATTTTACAAATGAAAATTTAAAAGAAAATGATATTATTACAAATTAGGATGAGAAAATGTAACAAATACAATTTCCATAAAATTCAAGTAAACTTTTGAAAGAAGGTATGAGAGCCAGAGTTTGAGAATTTTTTTTGGATTATATCTTGAAAGATTTTTTAGGCGAATTCCAAAATATTTATTAGATATTTAAAAAAAAAATTTAGGCATTTTAAGGTAAAATTTGATCAAAAATTTATTGTTCTTCAAATATTTTGGCATAAAAATTTCATCAATATTTTTGCATAAAAATTTCATCAATATTTTTTTCAAACTCTGATAATTATCATAATCTATCTAAGTTAAGAAATATCATTAGAAGAAAGCTAACTTCATAATCATGAATGATTGAATGGGAATTTATGATTTCGGAGGAATCTTTGGTTTGTGCTTTAGATTTTTCGATTCTTGATTTGCTCTCGCTCACATACTTATTTCGACTCATTTGTTTAACCTTCCTAATTAATAAAATTTTGATTTTATAATTATATAATTCAATTTTGTAATCATTTTAAAAAAAAACAGTAAGGCCGTGTCCTCGTTCGTATTTATTTTTGAAAATTATTTTGTTTAGTCCCCAGTCTAGATAGATTTTGAATTGGTATACCACTAAATATAAATAGCCATTTTTTTAAAATTTTGTTTAGAGGAAGTTATACAGACAGGTAAACTAATTTATGTTTAGTTATAAGACGAATGAGGATACGTCCTAATAACAACTTATTAAACCTTTTGCTAGCTTGTTGGAAACGTATGGAAAGATTGATTATAAAAGGATTTAAATTTTTTTAGTGGATTAAAGAGTTATGATTTTATATTATGGAGAAAGGAGTGTTTGCAAAAGCTGGTTATTTTTAAAATATTAGAGATGTACGGAATCCAGATTTTCGTCCGATAATGGGTTCAATAAAATTATTAATACATTATATGGATAAGGTATTTATCCGATTCCACGTTACTTCACAATTATGAGCTAATCTAGCCAGCTGGAAAACCAAAGGTGGTGATTTATTATTCTAGATATAAAACATATTTCCCATTTGTGTTTTTGAATGATCCTTTTCTTTCATTCATTTTGACTGAAGATAACATATTTTTTACATTTATAAGATTTGAAATAGTAAATTAATCCATTCTTTCTAAAATCAAACAAACATTAAAAATTTATTGGCTAGATATTTTATTTATCCACAATAACTATTAATTTGTGTTACAATTTAATAAATGATCAAAAACCCAAGTCTGAGAATATTAATTCTGATAAGATGCCAAAATATTTAAATAATAAATTTACATAGACTGGCATTATATGGCTAAACAAAGAAAATTAAAATAATCAAAAATATTTTTTTAAAAAAAGAGTAAATAAAACATAATTTTATGGATATTAATTGTAGATAAAATTATATACTGGCAATAATAAATTGTTTTTATAATTAATTGAATGATCAAGGAGTTAAAATTTAATTCAAAAAAAAAGGTAAAGCAAGTAGCAAAGTGTAAGAAAAGCAAAAAATAGGTAGAGGGCAGTGGTTAAGATGGCAAACTCGTTGTTAGTTTGTTTGAGGCATTTTTTGGATTTGGTATTGTTAGTCACCGATTTGGATAATGCTTTATATGTCTGGGTGGGTGTTTGGTAATCGGGTTTATTGTATCTAAACTTCTCTAAATTGAAGAAATCTGAAGTCGCTGTAGATGATATAGTTTTTCGCAAAGCGGAGTTGAAATTTTTAACGGAATTTGGAAGCCTAAATATGTTTATTTTGTTTGAAAAATATAATTTTAACGAGAATCGAAAATCAAAATAGTTAATTTTTGAGTTCCCTTTTCGGTAAAAAAAAATATCTCCAAATTGGGATTTTTATGTAAATCAGAGACGTTCCGGTTTTTAATATTTATTAAACCAGGGTTCTAATATTTGGCGCAGTTCCAAGTTCTGGTTATAAACCCAGTTAAAGTAAATCACAATTACTAGCCACTCCATATGATAGAACTTATTCCAAAACCGGTTCCTAAATATTTATAAATGGTGGGAGGAGGGTTCTATTTCCAGTTTCAAGATTTGTCTCATTACAAGGGTTTGATTCCAAACTCTGACTTAAATTTATTGAATTCAATAAGTAAAGCACTAATAGTTTAATATTTAGCCCTTTTTTTGAAGCACAAATTGATTGTAAAAAACACATTGCAATCTTGTTAGTAAGCTTTGTCCAATTTAACGATGAATCGATTTTATGTTCGATACATAACAAAACAGATCCGGACCGATAAATTATTTATAAGTGAAATATGATTATTTTTATCTATTGTACTGGCTATTCCTTTAAACAAAGTGAGATAAATGGTATTCACGCTTAAATTTTATAGAATTATCCCCATGATGGAAAAAAAATATCTTCGACTTTAAATTTTAGATAATATATTAATAGTTGATGTATATATCGTAAATAAAAAATAAATTGCGTTTAATAGAAAAAAGGAAAACTGAAGTCTGAACAATGTCATTTATCTAGTAAAAGTTTGGAACTTTTAGTTTAACATATTTTCCGATATTTCTGAGAACTTTAAAATAAAAATAGAGCAAAATCTTCCACCAAGACACACTTTATTTATTATTTAAAAAACATTCTTAATATGGACGCAAAGATAAGACCTGTTTGCGTTACAACTTTAAGTCATAATTTATTTTTATTACCTAGGTTTCACTTTAAATATGTTGGTCGATAAAACGCGTCTCCTCTTAATGGAATCGCTCGCTTCGTCGGGGAGAATAATTATCTGACTTTTGTCACAATCATCAACTTTTTCGTCAGATTTCCCATCATCGATATCTTCAATCGATTCGCTTTTCGACATAGTTTTGATGGTAGATAATTTGCAGGGAGGAATATTTTCTTTATAATCCGCAGACGCTGATCCACAGTCTACCATCGTACCGGGGATCTTTTGTGGCGATTTATTTTTGTCGTTTACATCACTAGATAAAACTCTTCCAATAACGGGAGGCATGATGGGTGGTTCACTCGACGAAAAGTATTTGCTGACATGTCTAATTTTACCATATTTTAATAGGTCCCCTTTGAGGGGATCGAGAGTTTCGTCTGTCTTTTTTTCATTTTTTAAGATCTCAGTGGAGATATTATTAGGGGTCAGCGGCGATTCGGATGTATCCGTTATAATTCCTGAATCATTGGAAGAGGGTATTTCTAAGTTATCATAACTAGTCCGCTTACACTTATCTTCATTTGTCGAAATTTCATTAATCGCTTTGTGTCTTTCGTCTACAAATTTAAATATACAAACATCGAGATTCACGTCTTTATTAGAATAATTTATCATTTTTTTCCTTTTTTTATCAAGCCCTTTTATAAATTTTGCCCAATATGACTTTGCATCGTAATGTTCAACGATGGGCAAATCGGGGTTCGTTACATCTATATTACCGACTGCCAAATCCCTGGCAAATTCCCCAGAATGAATAATTTTATTTATCATACTCTTGCCGCGTTCAGAATTTAAATTTGGTTGCTTGCCTGAGTGATTCAAGTTTAATAAATGCTTTTCGGTCAAGCTTTTAGTCATAGCAACATCATTACAATCCGTGCCACTGCGATTTAAAGTGTTTTCGGATGGTGGTATTAGTTCCCAAAAAGGACATATTTCTGTCACTTTAAGCTTCAAATCCTCTTCGAACCCCTGGATCATCCCTAAAGCAAGTTCAGGATCCTCTAATATATTCACTAAGTCTAATACATTAGCCACAAGTGGGCAAAATTTAGAGGTTAGAGGATCGAAAACGGTTTGAAACAGGAAAGAGAGATGGGCAGAAGCGAAAGAAGGTGGGTAAGATGATGGGACCTATAATAAAATTGGCTAAATTTCGATTTTTATACAAATATTAAAAAAAACCTTTAAGAAAAAAAAAGTTATATTAATCCTTCATCTTACATTAAAAACTCCTTCCAATATTTATTTTAACCATATCATGAACACTTCCCTATGCTATTAAATTGGGTGACTTAGTGTTATATTAATCCTATGATAATAAAGAACAACACAAAATATTATATTATTCTATACCTTAAGTCCTGTTACGCTTAACCTAGCAGGCATTGACAGACCTAATTTTAGGGATGAGATGAGAGAAGGAGTTGAACCAATGTTAGATGGGCTTTTAGAAATATTGGAAAGGGTCGAAGGATGGGAAAAAAATTTTCTGGCGCGGGATAAGCCTATGTTTGGCAAGGAAGGCAAATAATCACACCCTGACATAACACACATGAGTTGAAATTTAAGGAAATTAAAGTTAGGAAGTGAATTAGCAATGGGTGCAGGAATCTCTTTGCATTCTTTACAATCTTCTTCTATTTTTTCCTCTTTTTCCGACCGATGTGAGTACAATGAAGGGGAGTGAAAGGTAAAAATACCGGTGGAAGATGTGGACCTGAGGCTACGAGTTGTTACAATCATTTTCTTATTTTGTTTTGTCATATCTTCTTTGCCAGCTGGCTGGGATGAGTGAATATTTCGGATATTAGATCTTGGGCTGTTCCCGATTCTGGAGTCAGAAGTATTTGATGTGGAGATAATAAATGATGATCTCGAAGAACGAAAGGAGCTCAATTTTGGATGGGAAAAAGTAATATTTGGGGAAGATTGAGGGGAGCCAGTTGGTTTATTTGAAAATGTAAATTGACGGTTTATAGGTTGGGATGATGATATGGATTTTGGTAAAAACGTTTGAAGTAATCTGTAAAAAGGGGTTAAAAATTAAATAATGTCATAATCTTGAGTTCTGTAATTATTTCATCGATTTTGTATGAAGTTGATATTTTAAAGAATTATTGTTTTTTCCTCTATTATATTTAGGAATCAGCTTTTAATATTATCAAGTTAAATGACTAAATATAAAATGTTATGATATAAAATTACCTGTTCTTCTCGTAGTACATCCCATTGCCATTAGCGTCAAGCTTAAACAGAATTCTATCGCAGCCAAAAACTACTAAATCAGAGTCTTCCGTGATGACAAAATCGACTAGTCCAGACAACTGCAAGTAAGCCATCTGAGCATCGGCTTCGTAAGGTGCCACGATGTATTTTATATCTAGTTCGCGACATTTCTTTATAAAAAATTATTGTTATAAGGTACTAGAGGGGTTGGCCGGTTAAAAGAGGCATATCACAGGTGATAATTTAAATTAAAAAAATTACCGATATGACATATCGTACCATTTCGAATGTTATATCGATACAGCCAGGGTAATATTTCCTCGCCTCCTCCAGTTTTTTCTGACTCACGAGCTTATCGGCTTTCATTCTGGCTTCTCTTCGCTTAGCTCTTCTCTCAGCGTTAACATATCTATAAATGATTGAATTCGTGAGAATGACAAACATATAAATATAGAGTATTTATATATTTATAAAAATTGAAGGAATGAAAGACTTAATCAAGTTCTTATAATATAGTATATAAAAGTATGAATTAACTTTAATTTGGCGGGTAAAGGCGTTCCATCAAACACTAAAACGCATTTAACACCTTCCTGGGCTAGTAGGTCTATATATTTAAGGCAATATTGCAAACAGGCGTTGTTCGCAGCCTCGGTATCTCCGTTGTAAAGCCTTTCGGCACAACCAAAACAGGCCTTGTGAAGCCAAGAATAGGTATCAACAGCGGCGAATATTTTTAAATTTTTATTTGAAGCTGTCGACGAATCTCGCGAACGAAGCAAATTGGAACGTAGATCATAAATTGTCGTAGGATATATAACTTGGATTTCTTTCAGCAGTGGCAAAAGGCCGGTTATTCCCATTTATTATCGATAAATGTAACGTTGAAAAAAGCACCCTGGATGTTTATGTCCAATCTTATATTTAAAAAAAATAAGTACTATTATATATATATAATTATTAAAAAAATTGAATTTCTTGTTCAAATTGAATAATAGAAAAATCATTTATTTTCTTTTTAACACTTAAAATTTTTCGCCTTCGTTTAAAATATAGTTCTTTTCAACTTTCCAATAAATAAAAAAAGGACGTTTCTAAAAATAAAATTTAGGATTGGATCAAACTGCAATTTTTGAAGAAAAAAAATATAATCGGATTGGATATGAAAATTTTTTTTTGAATCAGTTGGATCTGAAAAATAGATTCGCCGATGCATGAGTTCCATACTTATATAGATTTAAAATATAAATATATAATGCAACATTATATACATTTTTTTTACAATGATTGTTTTTAAAAGTTTTACTTTTTCAAATTTTGGATTAAAATTCGAAATAAGGTTTTTAATAATTTCTTTTAAATTTATGTGTTAAAAAATTAGAATTTTAGTTTATGATTAGTAATAATAATTTTTAAATAAATTAAGTTATGATCGGGATGAAGAAATAAAAAAAGGGATTGACAATTTTTTTTAAAAAAAATATATGATTCATCTATGAATGACAAGCTATAAATTAATTTTTTGATATAAACAACCGATAAGTTTCATTTTTTGCTAAAATTTATATAAATTTAAAAATATTAGTAAACATTTAAGGTTTTTTTCTTTCTGATTTTCCATTGGAGGTTTTTAGAGAAGGGCCATAACCTTTAAAGGTTTGGTTAATTTGATATCGGCAAAAAATATCTCGGCGACGTCACTAGGGAGAGGGGCTATTGTGATCAAAATGTACTCTTTTTCAACAGGTAAAAAATGCAAAAATATATTGATTTTTAAGAAATTTCAGTTTTTGAGCACACATTGAGCCCCAGCAATTTGAAAAGTTTAGTGATGCCTCTGGATGTTTATATTATATATTACCTATAAATAGGCCTGTGGGCCCTCAACCTCATTTACGGCGGCGTACCAGTTTAAATGCCGCCACAAATATCGATGGAGGAGTCGAATATTATTTAACTTAAATTTTTTAATTAAAATTATAAATTAATTGGAAATACTTTCAAAATAAAATTTATACTTTATCTTGAAATTTCGAATTAAAATTTAACTATAATTTAACGATATTATTAATTATAATTATCATGTATAAATATTATTTTATTTAGATTTAGGACATAATGATGATCTTTTAGAGTTCGGAGTGAGCCCAGCTGTGGAAAATATATGTTCGCTGAGTGTGCTAGCAGCTGGAACAATGCGGTTTCACATTAGGTTAATTCGTTCGTGTAAGACAATAGAAAGGTAGCGTGTTGGCATAAAAATTACACCAGAGCAATATTTTTTCTCTTTAAATATTCATTTACTATGTTTATAGATCGATTTTAAAATACTACTTAAGGTCAGTTATTGGATAGCTATGATTAAATTTATTAAGGGAGGACTATCATATTCTTTTACGATTAAATGATTTTTAATTTCACTACAAAATAATAAGATAAATTTATAAAACATCCTTTTTGGGCGGATAAAAATTTAACAATTATTTTTAAGGTTCTAAGAAAATTTAACATTAAACCCAAAATGATCTTTGTAAAATGGGTCATTATCATCCAAGTCTAAAATAACCGATTTAAATGGTATCGATTCAAAGCATCTCTTATTGTATCTTCAAAATCCGCTGTTTTGAATTTGAAGGCAACTATAATTTATTTTAATGAGATTTTCTGCCTTATAAGGACGAATTAACCGATTGTGAAACCACAGAAGTTGCTTCAGAATTCGATTATCAGATATTAGCTACCAAACATTCATCAAATCATCACAAGAATCTGAAACAACAAGACTATAGTCTAGAAAAAAAGTAATTCATTATTTTCGCCTTATAATTTAGAGATAAAAGTTGTCTTCGATTTTTTGTAAGATAAGATCATTGGATCTTCCTTAGCTAGAAATGTCCTGTGTTTTAAGTTATGAGCACCATCGAGCGTGTATTTTCCATATCTGGAGCACTCTGAACTCGAAAAGATCATCATTATGTCCTATAAATCTAAATAAAATAACATTTAATAGGGATGTACCGATATATTTTATCGGATCGGGCCGATAGTTTACCCATTTTAATATATCGGTTATCGGCCAATATTATAAAATTTTCCGTTACGATCATAAATGCCGTTTCTAACAAAAATAAAATGTTATAAAAAGTTATATAAAAAAACCATTTATTTTTATAAATAAAATGAAATCCATTTTTATATTTATTTTTTTAATAATAATAATTAATTAATAAACATTCTGATCAAAAGTAAATCTGGCCCAATCTATTACCAATTCAACGCATAACTAAAGAAATAAGTGGAGAAAATGCATTCATTAGCATAGTAATTCAATTTGTAGAATTACTTAAAAAAGAGCTTGCTAGTCATGGTGAGAGGTGTCTAAACTATGAAGGATGCTATGCATAAAGATCTTATTAAAGTTTTTCCTATATTTATAATGATAAAATATACTTCATAGCAACAATTTTGAATCCCCGATTTAAAACAATCTTTTTTTAATTCAATCAAACTTTTATAGACAAAACAACTACTAGAATGCCTTGACCGTAATCCCTATGAGAAAATTAATTCATCCAGCCTAGGTAAAGAATTAAATCTATTTCTTTAAATTTTATAATTTAAACAATTTAGAAAATGATGAGCAAAATATGGAGATAGAAGAAATTTCATCAACATCAGCAATAGGGATGTACCGATATTTTATATCGGATCGGATCGGGCCGATATTTCGCCCATTTTAAAATATCGGTTATCGGCAAATATTATAAAATTTTCCGATCCGATATAAAATGGCGCTTTTAACAAAATTTAAAAAAAGTTATATCTAAAAATCCATTTATTTTTATAAATAAAATCGGAATATATTTTTATGCTTAATTATTTTAATAGTAATAATTAGTTAATAAACATTCTGCAATATAGTTATTTTTTTTCGCATTCTGTTTAAAAAAGTGTTCATTAATCTCTTCAGAATCTGTTTTTAGTGATACTAGTGATATTAACAGTCCCCATCACCGCAGACCGATCTCTGATAAATTGGAAATTTTGGTATTTCTAAAAAGAAATCTTCGATAAATTAATTTTATATATTAATTTCAAAATATTTGTTTATTACTAATTATGTAAATAGATTAATGTTATTACTTATTATATAAATAATTGCAATTGAATTGAATATAAACTATAACTGATCATTATAATATATTTAAATGACATATGTTATGGTATAGTAAAATTATAGATGTTGTACTAATAAAAAGAATATTAAAAATTAAAACCGGTATCTTTACAGAATACAAAATTAGATATGATATCGGATCGGTTATCGGCCGATATCAATTAAATATCTGGAATATCGGATCGGATCGGCCTCCAAAAAGTGGTATCGGTACACCCCTAATCAGCAATATATTCAACTGGCATATTTAGTTTGTGGGAATCTTATGCCGATGCTGTTAAAGCTAACGAGAAGTCTAATAATATTACCACTGAAAATTGCCCTATTTTCCTTGAAATTGAAAAATATCTTAATGAACCAGTATTCAAAGCATTAAATGATAATATCTCTGCTGATTTACTGAAATATTGGGCTGTGAATTGCCATAAATATCCAACTCTAAACTTGCTCGTCAATATCTAGCAATACCTGTGACAAGTATATCTTCAGAATCTGTTTTTAGTGAAGCTGGTGATAATGACAGTCCCCATTGCCACAGGCTTACCTCTGATAAATTGAAAATTTTTGTATTTCTAAAAAAAATCTTCGATATATTAATTTTAAATATTATTTAAATTTCATAATATATTTGTTTATTACTTATTATGTAGATAGATTAATGTTATTACTTAATAAATAAGTGATTTATCAAAAAAATAGAATTGCAATTGAATTGAATAAAAACTATAACTGATTATAATATATTTAAATGACATATGTTATGGTATAGTTAAATTATAGATGTTATAATAATAAAAAGTATTAAAAATTAAAACATTGGTATCTTCACAGAATACAAAATTAGAAATGATATCGGATCGGTAATCGGTTGATATCAATTTAATATAGAGAATATCGGATTGGCCTCCAAAAAGTATCAGTATACCCCTAATATTT